GCGCCCACGGACGGCGCCCGACACCCCCCCCGCTCGCTCAATTGAGCTCTTCGCCGATGGCCGATGGCCGCCGCCGTCGTTACTTATACGCGTCCAGGTCCGGCCGTTGTTCGGGCAACATGTTAGCGACGCTGTAAACCGCAGCACTCCAACTCCAACTTCAACGAACGGACGGATAGACTTGGCACTCTTCTTAGCCCTCGAATGTATCACGGAGTGTATCGGATCGCACCGCACGAGCACCGCACGAGCACCGCACCGCACCGCACCGCACGCATGCACGCACGCACGCACCGCACGCACGCACGCACCCGTGTGTCACCCTCGTCCTCTCACGGCTCTGACGGCTGTGACAGTGCCAAACACATAAAATGGCGATTTCGCGCTGGCTCGAGACTCGAGTCACACAACTTCGGAGTAGTTCGGACTTCGGTTCGGAGCAACGGGCGTCGCAGAGGTACCGCGATTTACTAGATGGCGGACTCTAATCGACAATTCGACTCGATGCGTATCACGGCAATGGCGCTGTTCGAGCGCATGCGTTCTAAACGGACAATGGCTGCGTTTGAATTGGACAAAACGACTAGTCTACTCGCCGAGCGATTGAATGTGATTGGTTGGATCTTTAAGTAACAACCAATCATATTCGTTTACTTAACTAGCGGGCTATTCATTTTCTAACGAAGCAGATAGTCTCTTTTCTGATTGATTCCGCCATTTTCAGTTTGACTTAAAACGCGTTTACATATTGACGGAAAAGCAGAAAATGACCAATAATAAACCAAAAATAAACAGAACCAATGGCCAATCAGAACTCGCGCTGATAGTAAGTAGCATTAAATAGCATGGTAAAAAGATATAAAGGTAAATTTTCATGAGCTGCTCAAATCGAGCGGTTAAAATTGACGAATATCAAGCATCCATTTTGATCACGTGATCCTTTTTGTCGCTGAAACAGCCGGTTTGAGCAATGAAAATTAACCTTAAGGTGAAGTACTCCTGTGGGTGCGCAGTAGGAGAGTAAATTTGATTGGTTGTTCCAGTATAATCAGCGCTATTAGGGGCTCCGCACAATAAAAGGAACAGAAAATAATGCCCGTCATAGTCAAGTCTTATATTTAAGGCTTCCTCTACGAATTATTTCATTGGTTACTGAGCATCTAAAGATACAATAAATTTAAGGAAGCTTTAAGTACAAAGTCTGACTGAATATGAGCATAAGAATTTTAACCTAGCAGAAATTATTTATGGTGGAATACACAGTTTCTGATAGGTTGAAATTCTTATTTCCGGTTCCTTATTCCTTTCATTGTGCGCAGTCTCTAAAGAGCGGCGTCAATTGGTGCAGTAAAAGTAGAGGGTACATTTTCGATGTGTCGGGGGCTAAATCACAAATGTGCATCACTGCATACATGAGCATACATATGTGTATATGTATGTATGTATATATGTATATATATATATAAAATACGTATTTACAGCGTTGTAACGTACTGCGTTTTTCGTAATTCCGTATCCGGTTTTGAATGCGTGATCACGCGACATTGCGTTGCAAGATTTGTTGTGCACTTGAATGAATTGATCCGGAGGCAAAATATAAATAATACAATATACACAATAGTTCACGAATAAGATTACTTCGAAACATCATTCGTTCATAATCAGTGGTGAGTTCGCCTGACTTGCATTCACAATTCTCAATTATTCCTAAAGGCAGAACGTGAGTCGCGAGTTTTTCGAGTTAGATATCATAGATATATATTTTTTGAATGCCTAAAGATACATATATCTTTATATTTTTGCATCACAACATCAATAGATGGTTTATTATGCAAGAGTAACCTTTGGTTAGGCTACTTGAATTCACAAACGGAACATTTGATATACTTTGATAAATCGACATGTTTGCAGATAACATGGAGGTGCCTGTGTTTAGCGATAAAGTCACACAACAGCTAAAATTGTTTGCTCAGCAATGCATGAGTAATGCGTCTCTTCTTCATGATCCAAAACTGTCCTGCATTAAGGATTTAATAGAACATTATGGTGGTAAGGTACCAGAAGCTAAAGCAAATGATTCCTCAGATACCAAAACAGAATTTGAAAACAAACCTGAGCAACCACAATTTGAATCAGCACCAGAGAGTGAAGAGAGTGAAGAGAGCGACTTAGAGTTAGATATGACTGGCGTAATCGGTTTGTTTTATATTTTTATCTTTTGTAAATTATATATACATATTCTTGCATTGTTTTTTATAATAAATATGTAATAATATAATATACTTATCTTTCTTTTTTAGAACCTGATGAAGATGCTCCTCAAAAAATGGGAAATTTGACTTTACAACCCAATGAGGAGGAAATCGCAGAGTCACAAGCAAAAAGATCTGAAGCAGTCTCTGCATTCGTGGAGAAAGATTATGAAAAAGCCATACAACTTTATACAGAGGCTATTGTACTGAATCCTCAAGCAGCCTTATTATATGCTAAACGCGGTCAAGTTTTCCTAATATTAAACAAGCCGAATGCTTGTATTCGTGATTGCGACCGTGCTATAGAATTAAATCCAGATAGCGCAGCGGCTTACAAATTTAGAGGAAGAGCTCATCATTTGCTTGGAAAGTTCGAGGAAGCAGCAAACGATCTGAGACTAGCCTGTAAGCTGGATTTCGATGAACAAGCAGACGAATGGCTACGTGAGACGACACCGAATGTAAGTATTGCTTTATGTTCTGCATGGGAAATGCTGCACATCAGGTTACAACTCAATTTCTATTCTCTAATTAACTTCTTATAAAACCAAGGCATATGGAATGAAGGTCATAATTGAACCTTTTAATCGATCGTTTATATAGAGCCATGCGTCCCTCTAGAAGATAATAAGAATTAAGAAATAATAGTTTTTTTTATTTCTAAATATCATAATTGAGTTTTAAAAATTCTACAAAAAAGTTACATCTTATAAATTAACGGAACAAAGTGAACAGAATCAATTTTAATTAATATTTTATTTGTTGCTCATTTATTTCACCAACTTATAAAACTAATAAGACAACTAAAAAATTTTTTTTTAATTTTCTATGTCCATAAAATTTCTTAGAGAACTTTCTTAGTGACGAGAGCAATAGTTTTAAAGATACCAGAAGATTTGCGGGTTATCGCCGTTTTTATTCATTGCTAATGCCAATGTTTTTCGTGAACCTTCGCTTTATCAGGGCGAGGAGTGCATTGATATATAATATCAATATATTAACTCTAACTAAACAAATAGATAGTTTTTATAACATACATGTATCTGTAACATTAAATTTACTTGATGTAATCTTTGTATAATGTAGAATAACAATGATGATAATAGCAACAACACAATAATCATAATAATATCAACAATACATTTATTCAAACGCTAAGTCGCGTTATATTTATACCATTCATGTAAATGAAAAAACTTGCTTACCGTTGTTGTATTTATCTTGGTGTCATTTGATTAGGATCATGATATTAAATCCAATTATTCTCTCTCTCTCTCTCTCTCTCTCTCTCTCTCTCTCTCTCAGAAGTTGGTTCAAAATTAATGAAATATATTTGAGACAGATAGCAACAAAAATGATTTAAAGATATAAAAAGATTATTAAAATTATTAAAAAATTTAATTTTACTTTTTATTGAATTTTGTGACCTAAGAGTCACAAAAATTATCGAAGACTTGAAAAAATTAATTAAAACTTTGTGACTCTAAAAAATTAGGCAATTAAGAATTTGGAAAAAATTTAATTTTGATATCCAAAATTTTTTAAAATTCAGTATTTAAAGATATAAGGAACTTTATTTTATCTAACGCGCCAACTAGAAGGAAGCCTAAATTTTTGATTAAAAACAAACATCACCATTCATCTCACGCATTAACTGAGCAATGCGTGAGAGATCAGTATATCTTTAATGAATTTAATTACACATTTTAATAAGAACACAAAATCAGCTTATACGAGGTATTCCACAAAAGCCACAAGAAGAGATCATCTTATCTCTTTTTCGCATTGGAAATATTACGATATTAATTTAATTTCCCCGGTACAGAGGAATTTAGCGGACGAGATTGTTGCTCAACATTACATCGATTCTGGAGAGTCTATTTTGTTTTTTTTTTTTTTTGTTTTTTTTAGATAATCAGCAGACGCCGATTTGTCGCGAAAATTTAAGTATTAGGTGCAACAGTAGTTTAGTTTACATTTTCAAGAACTTTAGAAAATTAATCTTAAAATTATAACAATTAATAATAAGACAATTAAACGAAACTTATGCAAAATTATGAGATATAATTATCTAAAATAAAATTAATTTTATAAATAAGTCAATATCTATTTGAAAATAAATTTCTTAAAATTATTATTAAATATGAATAAAAATGTCAAAATTGAATTTTTTGAAAAAAGACAAAATGTTATGATTTAATGTTATATTCTGAAATTAGAAATTTTGGAAATTAAAATTAGAGATCTGGGATCCAGCCTTATCCTATCCTTTTTTACTATTCAGCTGGATAGCCAAATATCATTAGTATCAAGCAGCATATATCCGGTTGAAATTTTATATTTAAAGTTTGTGTCATTGATGCAGAATTCTATTCTTTTCAGCTGAACTTCTTGCATAATTTATCTTTCCTCGTTTTCTTTTTATGTTGGGGAGATAAAGAAAGTTATTATCGCTATGTTTCCCTCACTTTCCTACTAGACATCCAGAAAATATTCGATATCTGGTTGGATAATTGTTTTACCGGATATTTGACCTGATATTGGATAGCCGGTGTTACATTCTATCCGATATCTGGCAATTTTTTTCCGGTTTTACATCCTTTAAAATTTATCTTGAATTTTAATTAAATTTTGATAATTTTTTTAAATGCCTAGAAAAGTAAGATAAGCTATTGTTGCACCGAAGCCTCGAATTTTCACCGAATCGATATGATATCTGAACACATAAATTCAAAGGGAATTCTCACTGTCCGCTTTTGGATCGGAATGGTAGCACTAGCATTGTTTTACCAGACACAAGTAATACACTTGCTCTTCTTCTGCAACCGAGGAAGTGTTTCGAACCACTGAACTCGTGATATCACACTCCACAGCATGTTCACGTTTTTTCACATTGTGTCATATGTTGTGAAGGACGAGATTAAACTATTCGGATCTAGAAATTATATGGCGTTATTCGCCCGTTCAAGTGATGGTACCTCCAATTTTCATACTTCAAGACTCCATGCCTTTCCGCTTCCGTTGCTTTCGCGACCATCAGCTTCTTTTACAAACCGATTTCTTGTCATTAGAGCAGCTCGAATACAACTTGCGAGGATAGCGCGATCTATAGTTGCCTGTGTTTCAAGAAGAAAATCCTTGGTACCATCTCAAATATCGGACCACGTTTTTCAGCTCGTTCACCATCATCGAGCATTTTTAAGCTACCAAGGCATTTCGGCTACAGGCTGAGTGTTTCTTCTCGGTCTAGCGGAGGTAAACGTCGCTTTATCGCCAGTCCGTATTTCACATGGTATCAAGAGCTCCGTTCTGGAACGCGAATACGCACTCAACTCGGTGGACTGTTACCTTCGTTCTCGTGCAACACCGCCTCTACCGACTTCTTATAGTTGCCCACCAACTCGGGTAGATCGTAAGCGATGGATACATCAAGCCTGTTGATCGGACAGCCACGGAAATACGTGCATGTAGAGCTCAGCAGTGAGAAATCATAAAGTGGATTTAGTCGGAAGAAATCACGGTAGACATCCGGATCTGGTAGATCGTAGCGCGATATATTCGTGAGAGTGCTGAGGCCTTCGTAGATATGATAGTCCTGTGGATTTTCGATGATCTTGTCGCTGATCTCCCGCTTGTTGCCGAAGAATGTCTTGTGATTGTAATACGTCGTCAGATAACAGTCCACCATCTTAGCGTGATTACGTACTCGTACCTGAAATTGCCAAAGATAGAATCGCATCAAATAAATTTTTACTAAAAGAATTATTCTAAAGTATACTAATAAAATAGTTGATTCTAAAGTATACTAATAAAATAGTTGAAAAATCCCAAATCGCAATTGGCATTAATTTTTTCACAATCATCGCTAATATTTCTTGCCGTATTTATTTGTATTCTACGATGAAATATATGCGTGTCATTAACAAGTTATTGCTTAGTTTTGTCCTGATTATTTCCCGTTAATCTTAAATCCTATGTATATAATTTTAAAATATTGTATACCCTTAAAGGCTCGTTTGAGATTTGGAAATTTTTCAAAGATTTGTGATGAACGCACTTGAGTTAGCCGAGTTGTACAGTGAAGCAGCCATGTACAACACTCTAAGTATTAGGGATGAGAATGAAGGATTCCGAATTTGAATCCGATCAGTTTCGTATTTTTTAGAATAATGTGAACTTACTGCGAATCTTCTGGCGCTTGCTATCTTGTGCTCAACCCTTTTGTTTATTGCTGAACGTAGGTCACGAAGGAATGCGCGTTCTTGAGCGTACAACAACCTGATAGGCGCACCAGCTTCGTAGGGTAATGACCATAACGACGTGGAATACATTATTGGCGGCTCCGCGCTTGACATGAGCGGTGATATATTCCAGATTAAGGCGCCTTGCACCCTCATGAGTTCTTCGGGCTTTACTTGGTCGGCTTTGTTAAGGATAATACGGGTCTGTGTGAAAGTAATGTTATATTAGGCGTTTTTCTATCACAATCTTTTTAGGGGCAAATAACTTTATCTCATTATTTTTATCATCTCACTTGGTATTCTCTTCCTTTTAACTGGTCAAGAATCGCCTCGGTTTCGGGACCAACATCCAACTTGGCGGGATCGTAAACCAAAAAGATTATGTCTGCTCGGTCGATGAACCACTGACAGGCATCATTAAAGGGAAATAACCGTTGAACTTGCTTTCGAATTTCTAAAATACCCGGAATCTCGACAATGTTCACCTAATAATATTTCATAATTAATATGTAGAATTTTATTATAGTTTTATCATGTAACATGCGTAAATTATGCTTCCAATAATATCAATGATTGTAATTGTGAATATCAATTACAATGTTTCTTTACTTGTTATTGTATTAAAGCCCTTCAATATACGTTTTTAATTATGCGTTTTTTATAATTAACATAATAAGATGATTTAAAAATTAGTTAGAATTTTAACTTAGAACTTCTTAATTTTATTAAAGAATAAAGCACAAATTTTATTTTGTATAATTTTGATTGAAAATCAAATCGTTAAAGTTTCAAATATGAAATAGTTCTAAATATTTATTCTAATTAAAAATTCCAAATTTTTAGTCTTTATCAATCAATATGATTGATTGCACATTATTTATCAACGTACATTCCCAATACGCAATAAATATTTGTAGATGGATAAAGATCTTTTACAATCGCTTACCTTTTCTAGCAACTTATTATTAAGTCGCAAGCCTCTGAGACGATCTAGTAGACCCTGTCCGAACTTCTGCAGTCCCGAAAAAGTCCAATCGGCGGCCAACTGGGTGCCATCAAGAACCTCCTCCTCCTCGCCATGCATTATTATGTTGAAGTAGGCCGGTGATGGCTCGGCTCCTGTGTCATTTTTTCCATTTGGCGATTTGCAATGCTCTTCTAAGCACTTTCTCAAACCACCTAAACACTCTCTGTATATTCATGCTCCTAGCATGCCAGCT